TGGAGAATTGAAGTAAGCATTAAAAATCTCCATCTCTCTTCCCTTGGTGTGTCTGTGGGGAGATTGGAAAGCACCATCTAAGAAACATCTTAGAACGGGGACTCCACTTTTCCCAAGATGAACTGTTTCCCTGCACTCTAGGACAAGGTGTGGGACTGCTACTTCTTCACCTGTTTTTCCTCTACTATATTACTTTTTAAAAAGGGCAACCTAACTGGGGAGATGTGGCTAAAAAATTATTATAGAGTGGTGGCACACACCTGTAATCCCAGTGGCTCTGGAGGCTGAGGCAGGAGGATTGAAGTTCAAACCCAGCCTCAGCAACTTAGTGAGGCCCTAAGCAACTCAGCAAGATCCTTTCTTTAAATAAAATATTAAAAAGGGCTGGGGATGTGGCTCAGTGCTTAAGTGTTCCTGGGTTCAATCCCTGGTGCAAAAAAGAAAGAGAGAAAAGAATTATTATAGAATATATTTCAAAGTAGGGGCAAATACGCCTCTCCCATGGCCAAGAGGGTATGGTCTGATCTTTAGAGAAGACCTCAAATTTTTTATTTTTGAAGTCATTTGCAATAATTAATACATTCATATTCTTGTACTAGGTGATAAAGATGTTTACTAAGTGTAAATATTTGAAATATACGAAAAATTGTATATTTTACTATCTTAGGATCCTTAGAAAATGTGAACTTAGGTCTTTCTAGATCACAGAGAAATCATGTTTGACAATGTAGCTGGAAAAACTTGATAAGGGCTAATTTGTACATTACTCAGGGGAGAAGAGAATTTACCCACCCTCCTCAATCTCAGTGGTTGAAGTCCCAGAATCTGGGGTAAGCAAACTGATTATTAATAACAAGAAGAGACTAAGAGATGAATTTTCTTCCCATCCCATTGCACACCTGCTGTCTGCACTGCACAGGAGCTGGGGCTAGGCCCAGCCTTAAGGGTGAGCTCTGGTAATTTTGGAGAAGATTCTGCCCATGTCAGAGGCTGGAACAGAGAGAGGGTTGAGGACCAAGGCTCACACAGTTTCCTGGAGGTGCAAGAGACTGTCCTTTCAGAAGGCCTGGGGACCTCAGGTGTAGGGGGCAAAGAACAACGACTCTCCTCCGCCACCTAGTGGTGAGTCTCTTGGGCACCCACTCCCTTGTATGTTCCTATTGTCCTGGATTAACCTCCTTGGCACACTGTGAAACAACCCCTGCTGATTCACGAGGTCCAGTTACAGAAGTTTCAAGGTGCTCCCTTCAAGGTTCTCTCTGCCTTCAGGAGGACAAAGTTATGGACTCCTTAGGAGAATGTTCTTGGCCTGGTTTGAAGAAGCTAGGTCTCTCCTAGGTCCTTTAGCCTCCTGTGTTTACTGGTAGCCTCAATACTCAGGCAGCTATTATCAATTGCCATAGAACATCCATGGAACATGCCACAAAAGAAGACTCCTTGCTGGGCATAGTGGTGCATGCCTGTAATTGCAGCAACCTGGAAGGCTGAAGCATGAGGATCACAAGTTCAAAGCCAACCTCAGCAACTTAGGAAGACCTTGTCTCAAAATAAAATATAAAACCAGCTGGGAATGTGGCTCAGTGGTTAAGCATCTCTGGGCAACCCACCAAAATTTTTTTGAAAAAAAAAATTCTATTCAAGGGAAAAGAGAGTATAAAAGTACAGGGACACAGACAAGGGAGTTTTCCAATCTCCATGTTGCTGCTCCTTCACAAAAATAATCCTAAAGATATTAAAGTAATTGAGAAGCCAAAGACTGTATTCCAAATTTGTATCCACAAATAGAATTCTTATTTTGTAGAGTCTTTAGGATACTTGACATATTTTAAAACATATGTCTTTAAAAAAATTATATGAGCCAGGTGCTATGGCACACACTTGTAATACCAGGCAGGAGGATTGCAAGTTCAAGGTCAGTTTCAGCAATTTAGGGACACCCTGGGTCCAATCTCCAGGTTCAAAACCAAAAACAACAACAAAATGAAAGAAGAAATGGAATGAAATATGTTTTCTAGTCATAATACAGTCAAACCAAAAAGCAAAAGGAAAATGACAACATTGTATAGCTCTTGGTTTAAAGGAAATTATAATAAAAATTGAAACAACTTTGAAATCATCAATCAAAACATTCTATTTGAAGCTGGGTAAGGTGGTGCCACAAGCCTGTAATCCCAGTGACTTGGGAGGCTGAGGCAGGAGGATTGCAAGTTCAAGGCCAGGCTTGGCAAATTGGAAAGACCCCATCTAAAAATAAAAATAGCTGAGGACATAGCTCAGTGTAGCATGCCCCTGGGTTCAATCCCCAATATCAAAATAAAAAATCTTTAAAAATGATGGAATATGACCAAAGCCACACTTAAGAAGAAAATACATAGAGTGAAATGCTTTTATTATTAAACAACAAAGAATGCAAATACAATATGCTGGATATTTATTAAAAGCTTATACTCTTAAGACTTGAACAAAATATAATGCCTTTAATCTTTATAGTACTTACGAAGTGGGTACTGATTTTTGTCCTTCATAACAGTTAGGAGGTAGGTACTGTATGTGCCCTAATTAAGCACATCTAACTGTGTAATCTGCTTCCAAGAACTATTTCACAAGCTTCTCAATTCAATGCCACAAATACTAATGCTTACTGTAAACAGGGCACTGTAACAAAGAAATGTTCAAAGGTGTTCTCTACCCTGTAAAAATCAAGTAATTTGTGTTTCTGATATATATGAGGGGTAAGAGGCATATCATACTATGATTGCAACTAAGCCTACCAGCTAAAATTGACTGTATTAAATGCTAAAAATAATGCGTAATTATAGCACTTTGTGAACAGAAAAATGAATCCAGCTTGGGATGGATTCATAGTGGTGCTTGTTTCCACTATTCAGAGAAGCAGCTCTAGGTTGTTCAAACAATTACTTGATGCAAGAGAAGCAGGGAGAGCATATATGTTTCCACTTTATTAAAATAGTGTATAAATACAGAGCAGTTGGGCACATCCATTCTAAGGCACTGTTCTGGTTTGAATGCAATTCCACAAGAGAGAAAAAAGAAGCCATTACATTCTGCATTTTTCATCTCTACATTCATACTCCTCCCATGTTACATGTTTATTGCTACTGGGATCTCAATTTAACCCCAGACTTATAGCAGCATCATACAGGGACCTGGATGTTAAGAATTAAAGACACATCCCGGCTCTGGCACTTAATATGATTTGGCACTTAATTATAGACTCTCTTGCATTGTTGTCCATTTGTTTCCCAACACTTGTTTAATTACAGATATTATAAACTCTTTATGAGCCTGATCCATGAATTATATTTCTTTACTAGCTCCATTAAGCCTAGAACAGGACTAGTTAGGCACATAGTAGATACCCCCCAAATACTTATATATCACTTCCAAGAATTTCAATGCAATAGAAGAGATACACTTTCCCTAGTTCTAGTTTAAGGAAAGGATGACTGGATATCTTCATAAAGGGACAATGCTTGAATGTCCTATTTCTTGTATCTGATAACAAGGAATTAGGCTCAATGAATATTTTCATATAGTAACAGCTTTAATTGATAAGACTTCTTCCCTCGCTATGAGAATTGGAGTTGTTACCATGATTATATGAAAATGTTTATATAAGTAATAACTGTGTGTGTATGTGTAATTATAAGATTATAAGTAAAATTCAAGGAGGTTGAGAATCACTGGGCAATTCACAATTAATCTGAATGAGTGACCCTCAATTCCTTAATTTGATGTGTGTATGGGTCTGTATGTATATGCTACTGTGGTGTGTGTGTGTGTGTGCGTGTGTGTGTAATTATGAGTAAAATTCAAAGAGGTTTAGAATCACTGGGCAATTATCTGAATTAGTGATCCCCACCTCCTTAAAATGATGTGCTGTATGTTTTGTATATTATACAAAAGATGTATATCTTTGAAGAAATTTCCATAATACCCTTGAAATAAATGGAGATTACTAACTTGGGATCAACAGGACTACACTGATAGCTATAGAAATAGTTATTTAAGGCAGTGTGTTCCAAGGGATATTTGCAAAATACTAGTTCAAAAGTTATTACTAGGTGTATATGAAAAAAGGTTCTGGGGTCAATAAGTTTAGAAAACGTTAAGCCCAAAGAGGTGCTTTATCTTCCTTTAGTAGAGGACCTCTCTGAGATTTTCATATGCTGATATGCATTATGAATCTAGGAAGGATAAACAGCAGGAAGCAGTTTCCAAACTTACTTGCAACATATCTTGCAGAATTAAGTGTGCCATGACACATATGGAGACACTGAATTTTAAAAATGGGTAAAATTTCAAAAGCACTGAAAGACACATAAGTGAATATCAAAGGAGAGCGAAAAATCCATTAATATTGGTTCTCTAGTCAAATGAAAGAAAATTCATTCTACTTGTACAACTTCAACTGTCAAGTTAATTCTTCCAGATCTATAGCTTAATTACCAAATCAATAATCCTCTCTAAGCACCATCACCACAGACTTCCAACTAAGCAAACCAGTAAACTTGGCAAATTCAAAAGTAAAGGTTACAATCTTGATTTTCTTAAACATAGAAATTTCAATAGAAGTAACCCTATTTTTATGAGGCAAATAATATTCCCCTTCATCCTTGTGTTCCTTACACTTTTTATTGTTTGACAAAATCCATTGTCTCCTTTCTTGCACCTGGGGCATATCTAAAGCTCTGAGCTTATGTAGTCAACTTTAATAATTACACAGCAGAATAAGTATTCTATTATAGATATGTCATCTACACATGGTTATCCATTATATTGACTCTACCCCTAAAAGGATAATCATCCTTTATATGCTTACACTTATGATATGGTTGCCCCGGCAGAACACAAAGTTTTCCATTGTAATAAAAAAAGACAGAATAATCAAATCTAGGATAGCTGCAAGAATAGGTGGATACTCTAGAACTTATATGCCTTGGAAGATGGATTTAAAAAATAGCCTCCCCGCCAAAAAAAAAAAAAAATGCTGTTCTTGTAAGTTCAAAGAGCTTCTTCCAAATTATGACTTTTTTGAGCTAATATTAATCTCTACAGGACCTATTTCTCTTAACAATTCTTAAAGAAGTCCTCTAAAGTGAGTAACTTGGTGCATAATAAGACCTGCTCTCTGTCTGAAGCTTTTAGAACAATGACTACACTTGTATGGCTTCTCCCCTGTATGAATTCTTAAATGAATAACGAGGCTTGGTCTCTGTCTAAAGCTTTTTCCACAATAATTACATTTAAAAGGTCTCTCTTCAGTATGCGTTCTCTGGTGCAAAGTAAGTGCTGTCAGTCGACTAAAACTCTTCCCACAGCTATGACATCTATGAGGTTTTTCACCTGTGTGAGTTTTCAGATGTCTTTTGAGACTTGATCCATGACAGAAACTTTTTCCACACTCCAGGCATTTATATGTTTCTTCTTCAGAATGTGTTCTCTGGTGCCCGATAAGGTGTGACCGCCGAGTGAACCGCTTCTTACATACAGTACATTCATAAGGTCTCTCTCCTGTATGAAGCCGTTGGTGCCTATAAAGGTCTGAACTACGGAGGAATCTTTTGCCACATTCAGGACATTTGTGAGGTTCCTCTCCCGAATGAATTCGCTGGTGTCCAGTAAGTTGTGACTTCCGAGCAAAACATTTTCCACACTGAGGACATCGGTGAGGTTTCTCTCCTGGACTCTTTTTCTTCTGAGGCCTAGGGTTGAGAGGTTCTTCTAGGTTGGAACTCTCGGGTGTCTCTCCTAGAGTGGGGTTCTGATGTTCTACAAGTTTTGCTAAATCTGTCTGTAAATCCTCTGGGGGTGGTTCCCACTGATTTTCTAACTGTACATAGTCTTTTTGCAAAATGGGACCATGTAGAGCATTCCCCTCTAATGTTACAACAAATGGATACATATTCTCCATTTTTTTCTGTTTTGAAGCATCTTCTTCATTTTCTAACCCAATTTCAAAACCTAAGAGAAGAAATGGAATATTGCCAATGTTATCGTGTTCCAAGAGAGGGAAAAAAAACTGAAGGAAAATAAAGAGTTGGGCTGGGGATGTGGCTCAAGCGGTAGGGTGCTCGCCTGGCATGCGTGCGGCCCGGGTTCTATCCTCAGCCCCACATACAAACAAGGATGTTGTGTCCGCTGAGAACTAAAAAATAAATATTACAAAATTCTCTCTCTCTCCTCTCTCTCTTTAAAAAAAGAGTCATATTAAACCATTAACAGAAATATAGAAATTCCTAAATAGAATTCCTAGCTCTTTACCCCAATTAAGTTGAAATTTTCTTTCCCTTCTTCCCTAGTACATTAATGAACATTTACTTACCTATCTTAGAATCAAGTAATTGTTTCATTTCTTTGGAATCCTGTAATTCTTTCACCCATGGCTCTTCTCTATGCTCCAGTGGGAAGGTCACATCAAGCTTTGGTAATGGATATCCTGGTCAAAGAAAAGAAGGAAAGCATGATAGTTTGATTCATCATTGGTTGTTCCAAAATTTGGGCTGATTTCTTGGACACAGGGCCTCTTGATATCTACTTCCTCCTCAGTTAAGACTACTTCATCTGGAGTCACAGGAAGTTTTTTTAAAATTTTTTATGATAAGAACAAAAGAAAAATGGAAACATTCTTTTGTGCTCACTTCAAGGAGGTTCTCTAATCTATGGGAGGTGAATGAACCATCTGTGTGCTGACATCAGTGCACTAAATTACTTCTATGTCTATTTTTTGGTGGAGGAGCAGTAACCAGGAATTGAATCCAGGGGCACTTTACCACTGAGCTACATCCCCGAGCCTTTTTTTTTTTTTTTCTGAGATTTTATATGTGTCTCCCAGAGGTCCATATGTTAAAGGTTTGGTCCCCAGCTAGATGCTGTTGGGAGGTGGTGGAAATTAAAGGTGCAGGACCCAGTGGGAAATTTTAAGTTATTGGGAGGTGTGCCCTTGAGAGGAATTGTGGAACCCTGGTCTCTTCCTCTTTCTTTTTTATTCCTGGCCATGAAGAGAACAGTTGTTCCACCATGTATTCTGCACCATATGTGCTGCCTGGCCATAGGCCCAAAAGCTTTGATCATGCTGAAATCTCCAAAAAGTTGATTATCTCAGGTATTTGTTACAGTAATGGAAAGCCAACAAATACAGCTTTTATATTTTTCAACTCTAAAATTTCCATTTGATTTTTCTAATTTCTATCTCTTTATTGCTATTCTCTATGAGATATAATATTGTCATCATAACTTTCTTTACTTAATTGTGGTTTTCTCAAGTTCTTAGAATACAGTCATAATGGTTACTTTGAAGTGTTTTTCTGTTAAATATGATCTCTAGTCACTCTCATAAATGGACTCTGTTGCCTGATTTCCCCTGCCCCAATAGTTTTGTATCAACATGCATGTCTCATAAATTTGTGTTGGTATTGGACATTTTATATAATATATTGCAGCAAATCTATACCATTCCCCAAGGTCTTTCACTGTTATTTGCTTATTTATTATCAAATGACTGGGTAATTTTAGTGAAGTCTATCCCCCTGCAATACTAAGTATTATTAAGCAATATTAACCTGACATCACTCTTCCTGGAGCACATCCTTAGCTATGCACAGTCTCTCTGGAATGATAGATATCAGGGCAGCAAAATATATTACAAGAAAAAATGATCTCAAACATTGAAAAACATTAATGTGCATATCCAGGAAGGAACACACTGATGATTCTATGTGATTTCAAGAAATTCATAAGGGTTTCTTGAAAAAAAATTCACATCCCAAGAAAAATTTCAAGTATTACAAAACAAGAAATCTGTGTCACTGGAGGGCATGCAGCAAATAGGCACAAGATACAAACATTATGTCTATCACACACAAAGCCATCCAGGCTCTTCAGGTCATATGGAGGCCTCTACTTGTTTGGTAGCAGAATGAATTTCACATAGAAAAAAAACACAAGGAAATAGATCCACAGATGAAATAAAGATCTAAAATTTACACAAAAGGATAAAACCTTAAAAGACAGGAAGAGAAAAATGATTCATCAGTTACACGAGGGGGTTAAAAGTTGAGTTCTCATCAGAAAACAACAGAGGCTAGAAGGCAGTGAGGTTGACATATTCAAAGTACTCAGAGAAAAAAAAATGTATGCTGGGCATGGTGGTGCATTTATATAATCCCAGCAACATGGGAGGATGAGGCAGGAGGTCACAAGTTCAAGGCCAGCCTCAGAACTTTCCTGAGGCATTAATTAACTTAGTGAGAGTCTGTCTCTAAAAAAAGCTAGGGATGAAGCTCAGTGGCAAATGATCCCTGGGTTCAATCCACAGTACCATAAAAACAGGCAATCAAGAATCTTACAACTAGCAAAGCTATCTTTCAAAAATGAATATGCAAGGGCTGGGGATATAGTTCAGTAGTAGAGTGCTTGCCTGGCATGCGTGAAGCCCTGGATTTGATCCCCAGCACTATAAAATGCAATAAAGATATTCCTGAGAAACAAAACAGAGAATTCAATTCTAGCAGACTTATCAAAAAATATATATATCATATATATTGTAAATTATATTATGTTTTATGTAATATATATCATATAATCTATAGACAGAGAGTTGAAAAAAATACTAAGGAAGTTCCTCATCTGGGCAAGTGACCACAGAAGCCAAATGAAAAAAATAGTACAAATAAAGGTAAGTATGTAATGAGAAAAATTATAAATAAATAAAAAATTCTGCTTCTTTCTTTAAAAATATTTTTTAAAATAAGTGCTATAATATATAGAAATGTAATGTATTTGTCAATAATAGCACAAGTGAGGTGGGTGAGAGCAAAGTTGTATTGGTCTGGATGATTCCAATTGATTACTAAAATCCACAGGAACAAATGAAAAAAAAAAGAAGAAGAAAGAAAGAAGCCAGGCGCAGTGGCACATGCCTACAATCACAGCAACTGGGGAAGCTGAGGCAGGAGGATCTCAATATCAACGCCAGCCTTGGCAATTTAGAGAGACCCTCAGTGACTTAGTGAGATCCTGTTTCAAATTAAAAAAAAAATAAAAAGGTTGGGGATGTAACTTACTAGTAAGGGGCCCCTGGGTTCAATCCCCAGTGCCACAAAAAAAAAAAAAAAAAAAAATAGATTGAAAGCAAGGATGGAAAAATACATATCCTGTAAATAACATCCACAAGATGACTAAACAGATATTAAAACAAGAAATGCTACTAAAGAGGATCATTTTATGATAAAATGATCAATCAGAAAGAGAAAACAGTTATAAACACATATGCAGTTAATTACAAAGTACCAAAATACATGAAGCAAAAAAATGAAAGAAATAGAAGAATACACAATTCAATAACTCCTGTATTAATGGATAGAAAATCTGATTAACTATAGAAGACAAAGAAAATATCATAAGTTAAACATGGCAAACAAGCATAGAACACTCCACCCAATAATAGCAGAATATACATTCTTCATAAGTGCAAACAGAAAATTCTCCAGGACACATAAGATGCTATACCATAAAAACATGTTCAGAGAAAACTCAAATTACTATAATCAGAAATGAAAGAGGTAACACTACCACTAACCTTACAAAAGAATTATAAAGGACTACTATAAACAAATGTATGAAAATAAATCAGATAATAAATAAGGGCATGTGCCACCACACCTGGCTATAATCAATGGATTTTTATAAAGGTGCTAAGAAAATTCAATAGAGAAAGAGTTGTCTCCTCAATAAATGGTGCTAGGACAACTGGATATCCATGTGCAAAAGAATGATATTGGTTCACCGTTTAAAATATTTATTTTAAATAGATGAATGTAAGATATAAATACATAAGAGAAGGAGTGTAAGTTAAAATCTTCATGACCTTGATTTAGACAACAGTTCTACAAATATGACATTGACTGTACAAGCAAAAAGGGCTGGGTTGTGGCTCAGTGGTAGAGTTGCTCGCCTAGCACATGCAAGGCCCTGGGTTCAATCCTCAGCACCACATAAAAATAGATAAAATGAAGGTATTGTGTCCAACTACAATTAAAAAATAAATATTAAAAAAAAGAGGGCTGGGGCTGTAGCTCATTTGGTACAGTGCCCGCCTCGCACGTGTGAGACACTGGGTTTGATTCTCAGCACCACATAAAAATCAATAAAGATATTTTTAAAAAAGAAAGTATAAGGAAAAACAGAAAAAAAAAAAACTGCAATTCTTCAAATACTTAAAAAAAAAAAAAAAGCAGAGGAGGGCTGGGGATATAGCTCAGTAGCAGAGCCCTTGCCTTGCATGTGCAAGGTCCTGGGTTCAATCCTCAGCACCATCTCCCCTTAACTAAAAAAAAAAGAAAGAAAGAAGAGGAGGAAAGACTTTCTAACTCATGCTATGAGGCCCTTATTGCTGTGACAAAAAAAAAAAAAAAAAAAAAAAAAGGACAAGAAAAGGACCAGTATCTCTTCTGAATATGGGGGTAAAGATCTTCAACAAAATGTTAGTGAAATGAATCTAGCAATACATAATAAGAATTATACACCAGGTATTTATCCCAGGAATGCAAAGATGATTTATCATTAAAAATTAAGATAATATAACATTACAATAGAATATCAAATAAAAAATCACATGTTCATTTCAATACCTACAGAAAAAAATAATCAAGCAAAATTTATACTGCTTCCTGATTTTTTAAAAAACTCAAACAACAAATAGAAGGCAATTTCCTCATCTATGAAAGATCCATAGCTAAAATCATAAGTAATTGTGAAAAATTAAATTTCTCCTGCAAGCAGGAAAAAAGGCAAAGATGTGAACTCTCACCATTTCTATTCAACATTGTACTAAGGTTCTGACAAGGGCAACTAGGCAAAAAACAAAAAACAAAAACAAAAACAAAACAGATTTAGATTGAATCTCAGGAAGTAAAACTGTTTCTTTTCACAGATGACATGGTTCTGTACATAGAAAGTTCTAAAGAATTTACTAAGAAATAATAAGCAAGTTCGGTAATTTGTAGGATACAACATCAATATAGAAAAATCAATTGTAATTCTATATACTTTCAACAAACAATCCAAAAATAAAATTAAGAAAACAATTCCACCGACAATAACATTAACAAGAATAAAATATTTAGGAAAAAATTTAATACAAATCTTATACTTTATAAACTATAGCTGGGTGTGGTGACACACATGCCTGTAATCCTAGCATCTTGGAAGGGTAAGACAGGAGGATTACAAATTCAAGGCTAGCCTGGGCTATTTAGTGAGACCCTCATCAATTTAGCAAGATAAAACATAAAATGGGCTGAAGATGTAGTTCATTGGGCAAAGTGCCCCTGGGTTAAATCCCCAGTACCAAAAACAAAAACAAAACCTATAAAACATTGTTGAAAGCTATCAGAGAAAATCTGAATAAATAGAAAAGCATCTTAGGCTCATGCATCACAAAATCTAATATTGTTAACATTGGTAATATTCTTCAAATTGATCCACATCTAATACAATCCCTAAAAGCATCCTAATTGACTTCTGTGTAGAAACTGGTGAAATTACAACAAATCCAGAATATCTTGAAAAATAAGAACAAAGTTCAATTCTTGCATTTTCAGATTTCAAAATTTACCACAAAGCAATAATAATCAGGACAGTCTGGTACATCCATGAGAATAGACATATGAATCAGTAGGATAGAAATAATGCATATAGCAATAAGCCCATATACCTCCAATCAATTGATTTTTAACAATAGTTTCAAAGACATTCAATGCAGAAAGAATAGCCTTTTCAACAAATAATGCTGAGACACCTTGCTATCCACATGCAGATAAAGTATCCGTTGGACCCCTACCTCACACCCTATAAAATTAGTTGAAAATGGTAAGAGTCTTAAATATAAGAAAACATGATCATTTTAAAACATGCTCCCAGATTCTTTGATATTCTTCCATTCCAGAGGTAGGATTTTTCCTTTCCTTCACTTAACACTTAATTGTGGGGTGCGGCTGGTAGGTTTAACTTAGTGCCTCCCTTCTTTTTTTTGACACAATATCTTCATTCTATTTATTTGTTTGTTTGTTTACTTATTTATTTATATGTAGTGCTGAGGATCAAACCCAGTGTTTCACACATGCAAGGCAAGCGCTCTACCGCTGAGCCACAAAGCCACAACCCCAGCCCTTAGTGACTCCCTTCTAATAAAGAGAATGTGGTAGAAAAGCTGGTGTGTGACTAGGTTACCAAAGACGCTAAGGCATGCCCCTTGTTTTCTCTTGGATCATCTACTGGGGGGGGGGGGGGGGGGGAAGCCTGTTGTCCTGTCATGCTGATGCTCAGGTAGCCTCTGAAGAAGCTCTCTTAGCAAGGAATTGAAGCTGCCTGACAGGCCCTGCTGACACTTGATTAAAATTATAAAGACACTCTGAGCCAGAAACATCCAATAAACAACTCCCAAAGTCCTGACTCTCAGAAACTGTGATAAATGCTTTTTCCTTACGTTGCTAAAATTGGGGGGCAGAATAATTTATTTTGAAACAAAAGCTAAATAATACAAAGAAGGAAAAAGCAACTACAGGTTAACTAAAAAGGTGATCACTGAAGAATGCTCTTCAAGTCCTATACCCAGGGAAAGACTTTATCAAGCTCCATTAGCAAAATCTGTCATAAAGGTTCCAATACACTGTGAAATATTATTACTATAGTTTGGGGTTAGATATTACCTTACAGTTAACTATTTCATATAATAGGATAATCTGGAAAGATTTAAGTGACAAGAATGTTCTGATGCTTTCCAGATAGTATGGGTTTCATGTTTAAATTTTCATCTCTCATAACCTTCATCACCAAAAGGATGTGATCTTTGACATCTCACATGTATTCCAAACGAAAATTTATTGATTGAAACAAAAACCCAAAGTTTTGGGGCTGGGTTTGTGGCTCAGCGGTATAGCACTCTCCTAGCACATGCAGGATGCTTGGCTCGATCCTCAGCACCACATAAAAATTAAAAATAAAGTTAAAAAAACCCCAAAGGTTTGATAATTGAAAATATGTTCCAATTTTGGTGTAATAATTTTGAATTCCACATTCTCTAAAGATAGAGTTGGCATGATACCCTTCATGCTTTTAGGACCAGTGCCTCCTTGCCTCTTTTCTTTCTGACTACAGACATTCTAATAGCATTACCCACCTGTAGGATTTAGAGTGTCTGGCTTCTATTTAATGATGGATTTTTTTTTGTTTATGTCTTCCTTAGATCACTCTGCATTTTTCCTTTAAGTTCTTTTTTTATTTTGCAATGAACGTGTGTGTGCTTTCAGTTATAAAAAATATCATTAAATGACCAAAATACTTGTGTGCACACACACATTTCATATAATCAAACCATCCTAATATTTTGCTGACAGAGAATATATTGCAAACTTTAACATAAACTCGATTGATTTCTTCCATTACTTTTAAATTCATTCTTCACTTAGCCAGTATCTTGTGCTTTTCACTCCATCTCCAATAGGATCTGCTTCATGCAATACATCAAGATGTTTAAATATTTAAGTAACCTTTAAATAATGGAGGAAGAAGTCTTACATCATTTTGCAAAGTATATTATATACTTTAAACAGGGAAAACAGGATACTTCCCCTCTTCCAAATTTGTATTTCTTACTTGATTAACTAACTATACCTATCTTTTGTTAAGCACACTGAATTTTCATGTGCTTTACACCATGATGAATACTGCTGCTCTGTGATCTTTGAACCTGTAATATTGATAAAAGAAGCAAATTAACATGTAGAATCAGAATGTATATATCAAAAGAGCTATAATTTGATAGGACTAATGAAACTCTACTATTTGTGGCAAGCACACATACATAAACACAGATTTTTAAAATAATTATTTAGCAGACTTTTAAATGAAGGTAACATAAAGACTGGAATATAAATGATGACATCATATAGTTCTGCAATGACCACAATAAGAAAATGTATTTCAGGGTTTTCCTCTCCTGGTCAGCATTATTTAAAAAATATGTGTCTGGTGCAGTGGTGAATGCCTGTAATCCCAGTGGTTTAGGAGGCACAGGCAGGAGGATTGCAAGTTCAAAGCCAGCCCCAGCAGCTAACAAGGCCTTAAGCAACTTAAAATCCCTGTTTCAAATTAAAAAAAAAAAAACTAAACTAAAAGGCCTGGGAATGTGCCTCAGTGGTTAAGTGCCCCTGGGTTCAATCGCTGGTACCAAAAGAAAAAGCAAATGAAATCCACAAGCACCCTAGATCCATATGTTCAAATCTAAACTCACCTTGACCCACCAAATTTGATCCTTATCTGTGTTCTCCATGTCAGTAAATAACATTACAATCTGGATGCCATCCTTCATACCTTCTGGTTCATCACTGACACCCCACCAAGTCCTATATTTCATACCTGCTAAATATCTTTTGAATTACCCCTTTTCACTCCATCATCACCAATACACCCATGGTTCAGAAAACTTCTCTCCCACCTGGAGGATTTCAACAACCTCACAAAGGTGTCCCCATTTCCACTGGATCTCACTAGTACTGTAGCCAGAGTGATCTCCTAAAATGTAAGTCTGCCTATATCACTCTGATGATATTTGAGAACTTTCAAACATTCCCCACAGCCTTGATATTAAATCTTTTGGGGGACACCAGTGATTGAACAGAGGGGTGTTTAACCACTGAGCAAAATTCCCAGCACTTTTTTATTTTCTATTTTGAGACAGGATCTCACTAAATTGCTTAGGGCATCACTACGTTGCTGAGACTGCCTCAAACTTGCACTCCTCCTGCCTCAGCCTCTGAGATTACAGGCTGGGATTACAGGCCTATACCACGATGCCCAGCTTGATATTAAATTTTGATTCCTAAAATACAAGAAAAAGTTTTTCATGACTCAGGACACTGCTTCTTTCTCCAGCTTCTTCAATTTCTATCCCTGCTTCTCTACTTCTGCCGACCCCTCAGAGTGTAGCAGCAGGTCTTCTCTCTGCCCCGGGGCCTCTGCACTTGCAGCCCTTCTGCAAAGGCTCCCCCTCCTCACTCCCACCAGTCAATGGCTGACTCCAATCCATCCTAGAGCTACTACCCCAGATCCCCCTCCTCCAGAGGTCTTCCCTCTCAGCCTAATGATGGCAAGGGCCCCTGCTGTGTGCTCTGCCAGCATCCTAAGCCCTCCAACACACGTTCCCATCACATATCCAACATATCTGGACTGTCCACCAGAAGTGGGTGCCGGGACAGCTGGGGCTGCTTTCCTGCCTCGTGGACTGTCTAGTCACAGGGTCCAGCAAGATGCCTGGCTCTTCACGGTGCTCAGAACGTTGACTGTGGGAATAAATGTGGAGAAGTGGAAGGGGACACAGTTGCTAAGCCCTGGCCGTGTGCTAGTGATGGGGGCATCCCACATTTCTGTTTTGCAACATGGACCGTTCTCCACCTATTTTCATCTGCAGGGCTCTTTGGTGCTCTCAGGACTACACAGTGTCTTGGTGTGCCAACATGGTGACGCTGAGCTGCTGGGGAAAGGGAGAGGACTCCCACCACACTTGGGCCCAAGCTTCAGTGGGGGAGGGGAGGGCTGGGACAGGGCATGGGTAGCGATGTAAGGAAATGGCAAAGGGAAGGGAAACAGGAACACCCAGGCATCCAGTCCCGCTGCCTTTCTCCACCTGGCCTTTTCTCCTGCTAGCACGCACCCATTTGTGTCCAGGGCTGTGGTTCTCAAAGGGTGGTGTGTGCAGCACTTTGCTCAGAGACCTTGTTAAACCTGTACACCAGGTGGTGCTGGGGCTGAGTGACTGCTTACTCATGAGAAGGGTGGTTACTTTCACCTGTTCCCCATGCCGCTGTACCCAAAATGCATTTTCCCCTGCTGTTCCCAGAGAGACATCTCCTCTTCCTCCCGCTCCTTTCCATCCAAGAGGTCCATTTCCACTGGGGAATCCATGTTTCCCAGCAACCCCAACCTTTGAGAGCTCTTGTGCGCTCGGTCAGACACAAAAGAGCAGAAAGAAAACCTCGCCTTACCAGGATCCAGAAAGGGCTGGCATTCCCCAGCAGCACCATAGTTCAGCTCCGGAGGCCCTGCCTGTGGGATCCAGGCCCCTGTCACGGGAGCCTCCTGGACAGGTCCCATTCCCTGAAGTGCAGATGTCTCTAGGTGCATGTTTGGCATGGGTACTGTTCCTACAGGAGCCAGTTCTTCCAAGAGCATGTCATGCATATCGACCTGGGGGAAATGCCAAAACCCATCAGTTTAGAGTTATCCATAAGAAGTGAAGTTAGTTTAACCTCATTCTAAAGCAAAGTATTGCTGACTAGCAGTCAAATGAGAGCCACATGTGTAGTTTGAAATTTTCCAGTGGTCATAGGACACAATGTAAAAAAGGAACCAGGGAGTCCTCAATCTTAATAGCCAGTCAGATTTAACGTGACATATGCAAACCACCAGGATTGCAGCATGTAATCAATCCAAACAATTACCAAGTACTACCTCCTCTCCCCATCACAGCTTCTGCATGGGCTATGCAGTTTACACCCACAGCAGATCTCAACCAGCACTGGCCACATTTCAAGTGCTCAAGAGCCATACATGGCTCATGGCTCTTGTGCTGGGCAGGGGCAATCTAGAGCACCTGAAGACAAAATCTTGTATGGTAAACAAAACTAAGAAGACAGAAGGGAAGGGAAACCACTACCGCATTCTAGGCTGGGGAAGCAGAAACCTTTAGAAGCTTCCTGTTCAGACTTCTTTGTGCCCTGAAGCCAACAGCTCCTGCAAGCCCTGCCCCACAGGGGACCCAGCACCCCAACACCCTGCTGGAAAAACATCTTCCCCTCAGCCCTGTGCTCCCAAAACACAGGCATCATGTGATACTTCTGAACCCAGGGCAGTTCCACTGCCCCTGTGGAGTATCCAACATATGCTGGCTGTTGCTGTCTACTGGGATTTAGTGGACCTGAGATGGGAGCATTGCTCACAAAGCAAGAGTTGTTTCAGGTCCCTACCAACTGTGCATTTCCCCCTCAAACATTCATATAGTTGAAGAGCATCTCCCAGCATCAATATCATGTTGAAAAGATACAATTTTTCCATATTTTAGGATGACTTGGATTTCCTACGAATGCACTACTGTGCAAATCAAAGGAAGATTACATTACTTGTTCCAATTTACAAAGACTTGGGGAAATCATCTGACAAGCAGCCACAGTGCATAGTACTTGAGCTGTATTAGTCTGAATACTGGCTGTTGCACTATAACAATTCTAAGAAGAGAGATAGGCATCTGACAATTTCATGATATCTTCTTGTAAAGTCAAGCAAACATATTTCTACAGATATATGTATTAGTAAATAATATACTATGTTCATTTTCCTTTATATGCTTTCTAGATTCTACTGTCTTCAGGGTCAACAAGCTATTTTTGTAAAGAGCTGGATAGTAAATATTTTAGGCTTTTCGACTATGTTTACTTTCTTATTTCTTCTTCTTCCTCTTTAAAAAAAAACACTTTAAAAATGTAAAAGTCATTATTAGCTCACAATGTACACAGAAACAGGCCAAGGTCAGATTTGACCTGCAGGTCATGGAACAATACATAAAAGCATTTGGTTGTTACAGATAGGTACTTTGTTATGTGTAAGTTTCATTTATGGATAATAAAGAGATATTATAAAATATGTGTTACAGAAAGGGGTAGGGTCGGGCCAGTTTGAGAACCACTGACTTGATAACTCTTTCTAGCAAAAAGAAAAAACAAAAAGACATCTGAGAGAAGTGTCAAGGCTAGAGAATGGTACACAGACAAAATGTCTGGTCTAGATCCAGCTGCCTCAGTACTTCTTTTGATCTAACAACAAAGACCCCATACTCTTTTCTCACCTGCTGCTCTGGTATCTCAAGTTCTCTCTGTAAATCTTCTATCAGTGACACAACTCTTTCTCTATTCTCTGGGCAATGTTCCCTCACCCAGGTCTCTATCTCCGTGGGCAGGATAGTTAGGAATTGCTCCAACACCAGCAGCTCCAGTATTTGCTCCTTAGACCGCATCTTTGGCTTCAGCCACTGACAGCAAAGCTCCCAGAGTTTGTTGAAAGCTTCATGAGGCCCTGCTGCCTCTGTGTACTGGAACTGCCTGAAGCGCTGGCGGAACACTTCACAGTCAGTGTCATACTCTTGCAGCACAGAGCCCTGATTCAAGGAGGCCTGGATTGCACAACCCAGGGCCACAGCCATTGCCTCTTTCAGAAGATTAGAGTTTATCTGGGACCTGAGGTCTCGGATTTCAGTTTGTTCTGTGTAATAATCAGGGGAAAACACCTATAGCTGAAGACAGGGAAAAAAATGAGAAAAGAGAAACAGCAATGGTTACAAGAGGACATACTCACTGTCTTTATTTATCTTTATCAAAGACCTACATGATCACTTTGTTATCTTTCTAGTGGTTTTGAGAATCTGAGGACTTGCAGCCTGAAAAAAATACATACATATCCACTTCTGAGAACATTTAAAAAGTTTCTAGAATCTCAGTTTATTCATATACCCTCTAGAGTTGTTCTGTCTAATATGGTAGCCAATAGTCCCATGTGACACTTTAGGTTTAATTAAAATTTTAGTTTCTTAGTCACAGTAACAAAAACTTCAAGTGCTCAATAAATATCACTGCCAAAAATTCTATTGAACAGCTCTGCTCTTGAATTCTACCATCCCAAGGCTAAGAACTCTAGCTTTAAATATGCCCCTAAAGATCTGTTGGCATTTAACCCTATTCCTTGTCTAATCCAAGTATCATGTGTTTCTGAATATATGGAGGTCTCCAAGGAAATGTGGGAGGAATATTAACAATATTTCTGAGTCATGCCTGCCTGTAATCCCAGTGACTTGTGAGGCTAGGGCAGGAGGATTGAATGTCTGAATCTAGCCTCAGCAACTTAACCAGAACTGGTCTCAAAATAAAAAATAAAAAGGGATGGGGATATAGCTCAGCTCTAGAGAATCCCTGGGTTAAAATTCCCAGTACAGAAAAAAAAACCAAAACAATACTTTTGAATAACTTTCACCATCAGGGTTTAAGTACCACTTAATAGCCTTTGATCAAAGTGAAGTTAGGCAAAATCACACTTTTCAAGGGCAGCAAATCATTGACCCCTCATTCTTCTCCATTCAAGGTATGTACAGTTCAGCCTATATCACTAAGATCCTCATCTTTCAGTAATATTCCAAGTGGCTCCCCTTTGTGAAAAATACACTGCTATATGACAGCTCAACAGGAATTTGCTCTTCACTTATAATGAAGGACATTTACCAAGTTCATGCTATATGCCAGATACTGTTCTAAGCATCCTGCATGTATTAATTCAGTTAACCCTCACTCAATCTTAGGCGTTCCCTATTAGTATTATCCCAGGAATGCAGATTAGGGAACAGAGGTTTGAGGCTTAGGGGAAATTAAATTAAATTGTCCAAAGTCACATGGTAAGTGCCAAGAGAAAATGTCCATGTTGTTAAACCCATAGTCTTCTGCTTTTAAGAAGTCTAAAAAAAAACATCAGAGTGGGGCTAGGGTTGTGGCTCAGTGGTAGAGCACTTGCCTAGCATGTGTGAGGCACTAGCTTTCTCAGCAATTCGTATAAGCAAATAAAATAAAGGGTGATCAACAACAACAACAACAACAAAAAAAACATCAAAGTACTCTTAGCATAACTCTGAGGTCACCGAGGTGGTCACCCACATGTCTCCACAGGTTTCAGGATCTGTACCTGCCCATGTACTATGGGTCCTCTGCATTTGCTGAGCCAGCTCTCTGGAGGGAATTCAAGAAAAAGAACACTCAGGACTTTTTTCCCATTCCATTAATCAGAATTGAAACTCTGTTCCTATTATCACCCTTTATCATGATGGTGGCAGATGGACTTAGAAGTAATAACCTACTAGCTGTGTGACCCTGACACTCAATGCCTCTGTGTACAATACATGCATAATCATAGCATTAACTTTATAAAATATCCCACCCGGATCCAACTGCAAGGAAAGCGAAAAGCAGCATGCCTGACACAAGGAAAGGGCTCAATAAGTTTATTGCTGGTCACGACTCCTTCCTAGGAAGCTTCTACCTTCCAGAGCCTAGGCATCTAACCGTTGCTGGAGGGCATCCAGGAACTGCGATTTTTTTGGCTGTGGACCTACCAGTTAATCCGCTCCAGCCTCACAGCTGGCCAGCCCTCCCCTCACTGACCCAAAACCTTCCACCACGTCTACCAGGGAAGTGACCCTCCGGGTTTCCTTGTTTCCTTCCATCTGTCCTTCCCAGTTAAAAGTTAACTGCACTGGGGGCTGTTTTTTCCTCCCAAATCTCCCTGTCGTGAACCCGCCTTCACACGGCCTATGAGTAAACCGATGTGAGAAAAGGGGGCACTTGAGGAACGGCACGAGTGACATGTCCCTGAAAAGTCTAAAAGCTGGTTTAAAATCGGATGCTGGTGTCACGGGCGCGGTCTCCGAGCGCTCCTGGGCGACGAGGTCCTGCCGCCCAGAGGGGCACTCCCAGCCTGTGAGGAATCCCAGGAAGGCCTGGCCGGGTCGCAGGGAGCGGCGGCGGGGTCCCTGGTCCGACAGGGGCCCGCCGCCCCTCGCTGCTCCAGCGGCTGCCGCCCGAGGCACATCTGAAATTTGCCAGTTCGCTTAGCCCAGGCAGGCGAAGGGAACCCCGCTACCCGCGCCCGCGCCCCAGGGACGACCACGCCCTCTGGCCGCTCCGGGACTCACCGCCTCAGCGCCCAAGGCTCTCCCAAGCTCACCGGCAACTGCCCAGGACGCAGGCGCGGAGCCGCGCTGTGGACTACATTTCCCGGTAGGCCTCACGTCGCCCGCCGCGCTCCGTGCCCAGAAGGATGCTGACGTGGGAGGAGCTGGGACTCTCCCGGGCTTCCTAGCTTCAAGCTGCTTTGGAATTGCTCCCATTTCCGGTCTAATCGCTTCTTGGTCCCTGGGGGTTGGGCGAGGCGAGCTCGGGGGTTGTGACAAAGTGAGGGCTTTTCAACCAACAACCTTAGAGTAACCTAACCAGAGCGGGTCTGGAATATCTCTTTAATCTGTCATGGCCTGCTAAGTGAGTCTCAAAACTGTGTGTGGAAGGATTTTTTTTTTTTTTTTAGAAAAGCTAGTTAAAAATACAGATTTCTCGGCCCAACCTGATATTAACGCATTGGGTCTTATATGAGCTTAAGGATTCGCATTTTAATAAGCTTTCTTGGGGATTCCGACTCTGGCCATCTGCCCGCTAGTCACAGGGACCTTGGGTTTGCTTCCTAGTTTCCTTATCTTGAAGACTTGAGCTTCCAGAGATCAACCCCGCCCATTCCTCTCCACCTTCAACCACCACCAGAGAGGTCTCTTGGGTCTTAGAATTCACCCACTGGCACTGCCTCGGATGTCTTCGATTTGTCCCTCGGTGGTCCCATCTCTGGAAGCAAAATTTTCCTTTTCATTGATCTGAAGCAGGTTGTCGTGAGGCCTGGTCCAATGGCTACTACATACAGTGGTTTTAATTGGAAAACAGTCTTTCATGTTAGTCCCAAGCTGGCACTGTTGGTATATGAATGCCAAACTTTAGTGCTAGAACTTACTTCCTGGGACCCACAACATAGACCTAGTGGGTCCACAACGGAGAGGAGAAAGCCACCTGTTCTTGTGCCTCCAAGAGGCCCTGGTGGATAACGGACTTGGGTGGCGGTGGAAGCCCTGGGTTCGATCTTCAGCACCACATAAAAATAATTAAATAAAATAAAGTTATTGTGTCAAATACGACTAAAAATATTTATAAAAAATTTAAAAGCTGGGATGGAGCTCAATTGTAAAGCACACCTGGGTTAAATTCCCAGTAACCACCCCCCTCCCCAATTAAAAAAAAATTGAAGGGAGTTTGGGAAGCTGAGGGACTAGGTGATTGGGAGGTATTTTTGGTTTGCTTTTTTTCTTCCCCCTAAATTAGAAATCAAACTCCTGGGCATGGGGGCACTAGTACTAAGCTGCATCACCAACCTTTATTATTTATTCATTTATTGGTACTGGAGATTTAACCCAGGGGGCAATCAATCACTGAGCCACATCCCCAGCCCCTTTTAAATTTATTATTATTATTTTGTATTAGGGATTGAACCCTGGGCTCTTCACCACTGAATCACATCACCATGCCTTTTTATTTTATTTTTTATTTTGAGACAGGATCTTGCTAAATTGCTGAGGCTCGCCTTGAACTTTTGATTGGGAGGCTGCCTCAGCCTCTCAATCTGGTGGGATTACAGGCCATATTTATCTAATTAATTATTTATTTTTGAGACAGGGTCTCACTAAGTTGCCCAGGCTTGCCTCAAACTTACCATCTTCCAGACTTAGCCTCCAAAGTTGCTGGAATTGTAGGCATGCACCACTACACCCAACTAATTGGGAGGTTTTTTGTTTTTTTTTTCTACCAGGGATTGAACCCAGGGGTACTTAAACATTGAGCCACATCCCCAGCCCTTTTTATCTTTTATTTTGAGACAGGACCCTGCTAAATTACTGAGGCTGGCTTTGAACTTGCAATCTTCCTGCCTCAGCCTCTAAGGCCACTGGGATTACAGGTATGTGGCACTGCACCCAGCTAATTGGGAGGTTTTCACCTGCTTTGTGGTTGGCCCTGAAGTTTGGGGCATTTAGCTGTCTTAGTTCCAGATTCAGATTTTCTTGATTGCACTGAGTAGACCATACACTGGCAAGTGACCTTATATATTTCAGTCTGGAACATTTGTCCTCCAGATGCCCCACTTTCAGCTCCAGGGCAGTGAATAGTGTTGTATTGCTTTTGTTTTCCACAGGGAGGCAGTGCTGCTTTCAAAGCAGTTCAGCTGTGGAATTAGATCAAAAGGTGGTTTGAAATCCTGGCTCTGCTGAGGTACTAGCTATGTTACTTTGGATAATTCACTATTTCTCCCTGGACCCTACTTTCCCCATTGGTAAAATGACCGCGGTAAAAGCTTCTGGGGTTGTTTTGAGGATTTAAGGAATTACCAATTTTTTGCCAAGTACTAGGGATTCAATCCAGAGGCTCTTTAACACTGAGCTACAACCCCAGCCCCTTTTATTTTTAATTTTAATACAGTCTCACTAAGTTGCTGAGGCTGGCCTGGAACTCATGATCTTCCAGACTCAGCCTCCTGAGCTGCAGGGATAACAGGTGTGCAACACTGTGCCTGCCAGAGGGTGCATTTTGATCACTGCTGGCACCTAGCTAGTGCTTAAACTATCAGCTGTCATGTCAAGGTCTCCTCTGCAGAAATGAGTCCTAACTAATCTTGAATGTGGAAAAGTAGTTTGCACTGAAGCTTGGAGGTCATTGTCCCCAGGGCACTGAAGTTAGTTTATCAGGCCATGAGAACAGGAGTACCTAGAAAAGGTTGGGGAGGGAAGGGGAAGTGAGTCCACCAGAAGACCTAGGAGGGGAAGATGTGTGCTAACATGGGCCCTTCCCACACCTTCCATATGCAATCACATAGACACATTTTTACCCATGGACATGGAATCATAAAAACTTTAAAAGTTTCAATCATCTCTCTCTCTTAATGAGTCTAAAGAGATAGACTGGATTTTGTGAAAAGTTTGCATCAGATTCCTATAATGACCTTCCTTTCTATTGGGCCCTGTGGTGGTGATAAGTGATAACAGGTTGGTACTGAGATCACAAATTATGGGCTGGGAATGGAAGTGCTTTTGTAAAAGCCTTTGCCTTAGAAAAATGCAAACATCACTGAGTTTCCAACTAGAGCTGATGGATACTGAGGGAAACCCTACAGTACAGAGTAGTTGCTTCTTTTCTTTCTTGTTTTCTTTTTGGTGCTGAGGAACCCAGGGGTGCTTTACTACTGAGCTACATGCCCAGGCCTTTCAATATTTTATTCTGAGAAGGGTCTTGCTATGTTGCTTAGGGCGTTGCTAAATTTCTAAGGCTGCCTTTGAACTTGCAATCCTCCTGCCTCAGCCTCCCAAGTCACTGGGATTACAGAGTGTGCCCACACTGTATTAATTTCTATATCCTCCAAATAGAACTTAATATCAGAGTAATAACTTCCTTTATTGTTCTTTTTCAAGATTGTTTTTAAGTATTTTAGGGCCTGTGCCTTTCCCTTTAGGAAAAACTTATCTTGTTTCCAAACAAGATTGGCATGTGGATCAGTGAAGTGAGAGCACCAGATTTTCCCTGAATGTGGGTAGGCACTGTGGATGGTGCAGAGAGAATAAAGAGTGAAACATTCTTACTCTCTTGCTCTTTCTTCTGGAGTGAGCATCTTTTATTCTGGTTCTACCCTTGTACATTAGACTTTAGGTTCTTTAGCCTTTGGACTCTGAGACTTGCATCAGTGACCCTTTGGAGGGCTGTTGGGCCTTCTGCCTTGGACTAGGGGCTGAGTCATGGGCTTTTCTCATTCTTAAGCTTTTGGCTTTCTGGACTGAGCTGCTATTGGCTTCCCTGGCTCTCTAGTATACAGTTGGTCATTGTGGAACTTTTCAGTCTCTGTGATCATATATATGATGTGTGTGTGTATATACATATATATATATACACACACACACACACATATATGTGTGTGTGTATATATGCCTATATATATCATATATATATATCCTCTAGATATGGTATACCATATATATTTGATATATCCTATATGTATACAAATATATATATTTGTGTATATATATATGTATATATATATATATACTCTATTCTATAGACATATATTCTATATGTATTCTATATATATTCTACTCTATATGTAGATAGAAATATATGTGTATATACAATATATTTTCTATCTATATACACAATAGAATGTGTGTGTATGTATGTGTGTGTGTGTGTGTGTGTGTGTATACATACATATATATATATAAATATATATGCTGGGAGCCATTAGCCAAGTAGGTATGACAATTTCCTTGCCAGCGTACCCCATGTTGCAGTGACATTGAATGTAGGTGACCTTGCTCAAGGACCAAGGCGGATTAGGGTGTTCCCGGTTTAGGTTCCAGGTTTAAGGTTTAAGATTATTCCTGCTGGGAATAGGGCGTATCCTGCTGCCTGAGTTCCCCTTGAGTTCTCACGGGATTCAGACAGTATATTTTGGGAGACAAAAGCCCAGTGGGTGTGGATTTGGGCAGAGAACGTGGTTTTGGGCAGAGGACGTGGATTTCCCCAGAACGTGATTGTAGACGGCTGGTGTGAGTTCGGGAATAAAGAGTTGCTGTTTGAATCTACAAGCTGTGTGGTGGCTCGTGATTTTGTGCCCAGCCAGACTGCGGCATTTGTGCCCAGCCAGACTGCGGCATATATATATATAAAATTGGTTCTGTTTCTCTGGAGCATTCTAAATAATACACTGGCTTGTCATCATCTATTTGTATCAACATTTGCTACTTCATCTCATAAAGTATGGGAATTTTACTCCTAGTTAGGTCCCTCTGTGCTCTATACTTTTAAATATTATTGTCTTGGCTATCAGCTGTTATAATTCTTCATTCAGTCATTACATATGATTTAGAAAGCTCACGAGGGGGGTGGTCCCACTATATGTGCCCATATATCTGCTCTTTCAGTTATTTATTCTTCCTTCCTGATGCTCCACAATTTCTTCTTTTATCTTTCCTTTCAGATGGAGCAACTTCATTTAGCTGTTTTTTAAGGTAGTTCTGTTATTGATACATGATTTAGTTTTCCTTTATGTAATATGTCTTTTCTTCCTCCTTATTATGTAAGGATAGTTTTGCCAGATATA